TCTTACTCATAAATTGCACGTGAAACTGAGCTACAAGAACATATTCGAACTTCGAAAATTTATTTCGTTTTCTAATAATTAATGAAAAAATACATGCAAAAACTATATTTTAATTAAATATATATTCAAAATACAAACAAAAATCCAATATCTTTTTATAAAAAAATCGAATAGAATACAATTAGAATTACCTTTTAACCTTAAAATTCAGGTGTGTCTAAGCGTTGAGTCAATAAAAAACAAGTTTCTTTTAAATCATCATGAAACGTACATTTAAACGAAAAATAAATTACTTTATAATATCTCAAAAGATTAGTAATTATCATGTGCACTGAAGGAAGTTAATGTTTTTACTTAACTTAATTAATTAAACTGTCAACTCGACAGTAACACATGTCTTACATTCATGTGCACGACTCACTGCACTTCCTATATATAAACTATACAAGTCGAGTACGAATAACCTACGTGTATAAAAATGCTTAATCATTGGTCTCTTCAGTTAGAATAAAGATATACATCGTTTTCTTCAATTAATATCAGTTAGAATAAATTCCCCTATATGATAGTAATATTATCATATTAAATTCTGTATGTGTCGTGAATTTCATCGATCTTTGTCGAAACCCTAGACCGAACACAAACACAGCGAAGATCCTATGTGAAATGGAGTACGATGCGTAAAAATCATTTTGATACCAATTCCACCTCCAATTCCAACTTAATTCCAATTCCAACCACTACTAATGTTGTAATCTTATTCTATATTAAATCGGTAACGTTGATAGCAACACGAAAATAGTAAGGGTCTTCTCGGCCCCAAAACCTCAGACAAAAAGTCCCATAAGATGCAAAGTCTATCCTATACATCGTCTGTGGTCTTATACTGTCGCCGCTTGAGGGAAAGTTTTTGTGTAGATAGATAAGTGGTTTTCAACCAACTATCGGTAATGTTGCGTGTTGATAGAATAGGAAACCAAAAAGATTATCTGCTCGCTCTGTTCTTCTACCTGGGTTGGCGCACAAGCAAACATTTAATAACACCTACATATAAAAATTTCATACAATGGAGTCTCCTATAACGACTTAATTCGTTCCAAAACGTATACATACAAAATATATACATACATATAGCTACGTATAGCATTTAATATATGTATACGTATAATTATCAATTTACCGACACCCAGTAAACGCCGCAGCCACTTCGACATAAACTGTTGGCCGGCTAGTATCAGAATGATTTTCGCACATCTCACTTGCGCATTGTATGCCATTTCACATAGGATCATCGCCGCTGTGTGCTTGTGTTTGTTCTAGGGATTCGGTAAAGATTAATGCACTCATTGTAAATACATATGTACGTAAACATAGTCATGGTGAATTCAGATAAAGGTTCTACCATTTTTCTAGATATTTGATTTGTACTTCTAAACAAATCTTTCACAGAGTTTCTCAAATAATTATTACAGCGGTCAATGTATTTATGTTCACTGAATTTATGTGTTTTATCACAAGACGTTAATCACAGAGAGTGCAAACGTGCACTTCTTGTACCTTTACACAACCCAAGGCAGATAATATACTAACCACTATTAACTTCAAAGCTGACAATAACGTTGCAATGTAAAATTTTGTGTTTACATTGAATGACCAATGAAGTTGCATTTAAATGTTAAATTATAACATATATTAGTGAATATTATTTGAATAACTATAAGCTCTGTGCTGATTTTGCGTAAAATAGTGTTATGTTTAATATTAATTTATTAGAAAAAGGAACAAAATCGAAATAAAATTTTTATAAATATAAAATGAAAAAATGGCAGATATTTTAACTCCATTTGTATACTGGGCTCAAACAGAAAATCAAATTACATTAAAGGTAGATTTAACTGATGTTAAGGTATGGTATACCAAGTTATATTTTTTAGGATGTTAATGTTGATATGGATGAGAAAAAATTAGAAGTTATAGCTTATGGACAAGGTGCTAGAGGTCTTAATAATTATAGATTTAACTTGGATTTACATTCATCTATTAACACTGAGGTAACATTTCTATTATTAATAAGAAAATATTTTTGTATGTAGGTGTGGCAATGTTTAGGTAAATGTTATGTATAATTCTTGATGACGAATTTTTCATAATGATAGGTTCTAGTTATAGACTTTGATGTGGTAAAGTAGTAGGATGCAACTATTAAGTATTTTTAAGAAGTTTAATCTCAAAGTTGAAGAGCTCTATATTTGTATATCTGATGGAGGCTTTGTTGAAGTTACAGATTAAATAATTGATTTTTATGTGCATAGAACTCAATTTCCTTTTTCTTTCTTTCTTTTAAATATACAGTTTGTATTATTAAAATGTATTTACTAATGTTTGTTGTATAAATTTAACTATAGAAAAGAAGTATTAAAAAAAAGAAAAATAGAAAGAAATAGCATCTATGACAACGAAATCTTAATTACCCACATAGAATTTAGTTATACAACCACTACAAGTACCTTTGACACACTTTGTATGAGATATACAAATATGAAAATTTTTATTTCGAGAATCAATTTTTTTAAAATTAGTTGAGAGATAGGTTTAGAAGTAGGAGATGCAGAAGAAATTGTAACATCTCGCTGTTGATCAGCCAATAGCGATAGAGTAAGGTTATCGCACTTACTCTTTCACGAGCAAGGATGGGCAAAGTTCAAGCCTAACGTGAGTAGTCGGTAACGGATGAGCAGTCGATAATAAAAAAAAAAGATGTAAGACCGAAGAGTATTCGGGATAGCGCGTCTGCCTGTTTTTCGCTTATTTTGGATCTTTGCTTTGCCGATCTGTGCACATATATGTTAGTCCTTTCTATGTCAAATTTACTTCTGTAATTATAACTATTTGATATAAAAAGTAAGTTTCTTCAGAGATCATGATCAAGTTGCGTTTATCAAGTAATCTTTCTTGATGAGAAAGATAATTTTCTATTATCATACAACCTTAGACTAACGTACTTTCCAAACATATTCTTCCGTTTACATTCAATGTATTGTGAAGAGACTTACTTTTGACCAAACGCTTGTAAATACAAAAGTAGATTTTACGAAAGGATTAATTTTAGGACCTATGTATGTTGATTAAGCATTTGGTGAATAACAAAAAATACAAACAAACAAAGTTACTTTGGGAAAAATCACCAAACATAAAAGAATAAATATCATAGAAATAAGATAAAGAATAAAAGATTTTGTTTTCGAAGTCCATCATTTGTTGCCGGATGAATTTCGGCTTTTACATTTTGCATGTAACATATATTAATGATTTTTTAGGTTCATATGTTTTGTAATTTACTTTTGAAATACACTTATTTACAATAAAAACAAAACATTCTTTATATTGTAAACGTAATTAATAAGAATGATTCATTTTTTATTATTACAGGACAGTATGTTTAAAGTAATAAATCGACAAGTAAATTTTACATTGAGAAAAAAGTGTTCTGCTTGGTGGCCAAGATTAACCAGTCAACCACAAAAGCCATCATGGTTAAAAATTGATTTTGATAAATGGACAAGCGAAGATTTAGACGACAATGAAGACGAAAAGCGGGATATATGCAATGATTATCCTGGCATGTATGACAAACTTCATAAAGAAGAATTCGGTTACGAAAAAGGTATACATACTTCGTTAAGTATGCCCATGCTGGACAATACATTTTGGACCGTATATGTTGCGTTCGTGACAATGAACGTCTTAAAGAATGTTTTAAGTTACATTATAATTGAAATAGATTGTGATATTAATTTATGATTATTTATTTGCAGAGGATTTCAAAAAGGTATATCTTATTATTTATAATCTTTGTCAATTTGTTGGTTTTATCTACATTCTTATTGTAATGGGAATCATGTATTCGCGAGATGGACCAGGTGGGTGACTATATAAGTAGTTTATATAAAATCAATTAGTTCTAACAATAACTAAACTATAATTAAGTATTAAATTTTTTATTTTAGCTTCTATGAAAGAAACTTACACAACTGTTGGAAATGCAATGAAGTTTATACAACTTTTACAGTTTCTAGAAGTTATGCACTCATTATTTGGTTATACTAAGAGCAGTACACTTGTGTCATTTGTACAAGTAGGAGGCAGAACATTTATTTTATTTAGTATGATTGAAGCTGAACCCCGTATGCAAACTAAACCAGTTATTTTTTATCTTTTCCTTGTTTGGAGTACAGTAGAAATATTTAGGTACCCATATTACATTACACAATTATTGAAAATAGAAATTTCATTTTTAACATGGTTAAGATATACAATATGGATGCCTTTATATCCATTAGGCTTTCTTTGTGAAGGAATTATAATACTAAGAAATATTCCATATTTTGAAGAAACACAAAAATTTACCGTTTCTTTACCAAATTCTTGGAATTTTGCATTTCATTTTCCATCATTTTTAAAAATATACTTATTAGTATTTTGTTTACCTCTTATATATATGTTGATGTCTCGTATGAATCAAATGCGTTATAAAAAATTATGCAAGTCTAAACTAAGAAAAAAGTATGCATGATTTAAAAAATAATTTAGGATTAACAAATTAAGCTACTAGAAAATTTAATTGATGGTTCAATTATTCATTATATAATTCATTATAGAATTCATGAAATAAAGAAGTAGTA